AGTTCACTGGGGTGGCTGTTCAGTGATTCCCCGTTTGGTGGAAAGAATTCTCAATGAAGAGACAGATATAGCACTGGGGAAGAAGGAAAACACTCTGAAAACAACAAGCATAGTCCATTAGCCAGGACAGCCAAAGGTGCTGCTGCATTACTGCACATTGCTATTTTAAGTATGTATATTCCACACCAGGATTTTTTTCTTTATCTAATTAAAAAAAAAAAAAAAAAAGGAAGCATAAGCTAATCTAGAGATTTGTTGGCAGTCAGGAGCTGGAGCTAAAAAGCAGCAACTGCTTTAGCTTGACAACGTGAAGGAGACATGATAAATTCCCTTGCAACTGATACTGCTATCAGACAATAGTATCCAGCTTATTAGATAAGTAGCCTGAGTATGATATTTGAGTTAAAGCAGTAAAGTCAATTTACTAATGTGAAATAGAGTTAGGAAGCATTCCATTATACACAATTAACCTCTGTCAGAATAGTACAGGCACTCTTTTTAAATCAAGAGGTGTAAGGTGTCATCACTCTAGGGCAGGAGATCATAAATCTCCTGATTTTGGATCCAATAAATTTCTTGTGTCAATGAAACATTCTTAAGATATTCCTTTTACTCATCTGTTTGATTGGACTAAGTGCCACCACATTTTGCTACCAGCAAACTGAAAACATGATTTGTGGGAATCATCTGAATTATTAATTCCTAAAATAGGAATAGTTTTTACTGTTACGGAAGATCTATTCGAATCCATTTTCTTATGAAGTAGAACCTTGCTTTGCCTTTCTATAGTGTAGAAGATCACTTACTAATTACAATCAGATACTGATACATTCCTGATACTTGTCCACCCAGCCTTGCTGCAGGGACCACAAGACAAAGCTCTTGCAGACTAGCAACTCCAGTCATTTTATCTTCCCACTTGGTGATCCTTGCTACCCTTCAAGTCCTCTCGTGTACATGAGACAGCTGTAAGATTACAAGCAAGATGGTGCTTTCCCTCAAAGGAGTGCACAAGCAGAACTTCATAAAAAAAGCTGGTAGGTGAACAGTTTCAAATGGATTTATGTCTACAGTTACATTCCCTAGTGTCTTCCAGTCTGCTCGAAGCACATACCCAGCCCTATACTACTTTTCTATCACCCTCCCCGGCACTAGTAAGGAGTGGGCTGACACTGCAACTGACATGAACAGAGATACTCTCTCTTCCTTGGATGAATGTATTCACAAAACTTTTAAGACTTCCTCATATTTCATATGAAATACTACTGAAATTAATCAAGAGGGTCAAAGATCACTAGGGAGAAGTAGAATCATTTGAGAGGCTTCATTGTTTTCAGGAGGCAAAACCTGAAATTATCATATTCCACATTTAGAAAAACTAATCCCAGATATACAAATATTTTTGCTTAGCAATAATCTGCATTCCTCAACTAGTCTGAGAAACTGGAAACCAACTTGAACGCACACTGACACTGAATTAACTAACTATGCTGTAACCTCCCTACCTCCATTCTCCTGCTGCTTGTTGCTATAGCTGTACTTCACCTCAAACCAGCATTTTCACAGCTATGTGAACTTCACTGTTACAGGTATCAAAACTGGTAGTTTAGCACGCTGGCTCAGTTATTCTTTCAGGAGATGCAATCACACCTTTAAAGGAACATAGTATTAACTCGCATAAAAGTTGCAATGTTTTCATATGTATTTCTTTTCACCTTATTGGGAAAGAAACCCATTTTATTGTAAATAAAGAGCCTGAGAAACAAGATGAAGGTAAGACCTTAGGTTGGGTGAATTCTGTACCAAATTTCTTCTGGTTGTTACTTGTCTCTATCCATCCCTCTCCCAGGTGACGTTTCATGCTGGCTGTAATTAAAGATACCATAAACTCAATCTCTGCTACTGAGTTAAGGTTTGAAGTTGATCAGATACTTTAAACCTTTTGTGATTAAAATCCACATTTTTGCACCACTGCTAAATACACATTTATTTAACCTAATACACTTAATTTTCCACCAAACGTATCACATCAGAGAAAAATATTTGAACAACAAGCAGCTTCATTTTCCCCCCGGGAGTGTGTTCTTACAGAAGTAAAGACATGTTCCTTCAGCTCCAGCTAAGCAACTCAAGAGGATGGTCAGATATATGGAGCAGGAGGGGGTGACATTGGCCAGCTCTGTCTTCTTCATTTAGTCTCGCACTGATAGGTCAGCTAGGTTCTGTCGATTCTTTTGCCTTGTCTTTTTTTTGCAGACAAGAAACTTGCATCCAAAAGCAACTAGATTTTACTTTCATGCAGTCAAATTGATCCACACGGGTTATAGTATACCCTTTGTTAGGCTTACAGCTGGTGGTCTTACTCCAAGGGTTCAAAAGGAATTTGACACAATCTTCTAGCTCTCCATGGAAATCAGAGGAATGAGGGGGGAGCAAGCACTAGGAAATGTTCACTTAAGGCATCTACATTCTGTAATTAATAAAGGTGTGTCCTTCAGTTTGATATTCTGAATCACCTTGTAGAGAAATCTGTCTTCACACAGACTACACTTAGCTGTCCCCTACACTAGACAATGCCAATATTGCCCAAGAAATACAACTATTCTATAAGCAATGCCTACTTATACACACTTTTCAAGGATCTGTGCCCTAATCTAGCCAAATGACATTAAAACCACAATATAAACTGACACACTGCAGCCAGCTTCATGTCTGGAAAGCCACCAGCCCATTCAGGTTCCTCCTGTAAGATATGACTTTTGCCCTTATGCCAACATATCAGAGCAGACAATAACCTATCCTAACACAAAAAATGGTCTCCCAGAGCAGCCACAGAGGATCTCAAACAATACAGCACTTTGGTTCAGAGCTCTTTCCTTTATGCTCTGCATGTGAGTCTGGCCAGACCAGTCCCCTGCAGTGTTGCAATTTCTAACTCTATTCATTCTTAGATTTCAAAAATGTTGAGAGTGGCAAAATACCTATTCCTACTAAAGGACAGAAGTTAGTCCTTGGCTTCCCACGACGACTATAGGAATTCATGCTCCCTTGGGTGCCTTAAGCAAGTACGAGATTTAAGGCATCATGTTAGTAAATGGTAAATCCTACACCATGTCCAAATTATTTTCAGGTACTAAAAATTATATGCTGCTAGAACAATCTGAACTTGAAACTTCTTGATGAATTCATTCAGCCATGACATTTTGAAGACACACACACTCATATCATGGGGGGGGGGG